GGGGCAGCCCTGCCCACAACGTGTATTCCTCCCAGGGACTGATACTCCAGAACCATGAGGGAGAATTCCCTGCTGTTCCAGACACAGAAGCAACACAGAAAGATCGCAGTGACCATGCAAGGGGCTGCACTTCAGTGTGTCTAGGCCTCAGATAGTGGCACAGATTCTGTACGCTCTGGCTAGAAAACTTCTTTCTCCTGTGAGATGAACTCTTACCTAATGACAAAGTCATTAAGCCAGAATAATTATATCCTCCCTCCGACAACCCCAAAATAAACCAGTAAAGTAGAAGCCACACTGTCCACTCACTCCACTGTTGTCCCTGGGGAAATGAACATTCGGGAAGGGGTCACCGTCCTCCTCAGGGACAGCAGCCAGCGGTACAGTGAGCAAAATTCTGCATTTGCTAGTTGGCCTCCAGTGCCAACCTTTCTTATTCAGACATTTAAACCTGAATTATTCTAATAAGACAAGACCATTAGCTGCTAGGGAGATGGCTCAGTAAACAAGCCCATTAGCTGATAAGTAACATCCATACTGAGCCACGAATCAGCACATACATCAGTCACTAGCTTACACATTCTTAGAAAGAATATGGAGCTCTTGAAACTGGCCCAACTGAGGAGGGGTGGGAAAATGCGGGAATGAGCTACTACCACGGTTTTTTGTTGTTTTGTTTGTTTTTTTTGTTGTTGTTGTTGTTGTTGTTTTTGCACTGCCTCAATTACAGCACAAAAGACAAACCTTTGTAAGAAGGAACTGGTGGCAAAATATGAAGATTAGGCAGAGAGACATAAAGCAGGCTGTTCATAAGTTGACCACTAATCTATTTTTTTTTTTTTCAGAATTGGGAATTGAACTCCGGCCCTTGTGCTTGCCAGGGAAGCACTTATTCCACTGAGCTATCTCCCCAGCCCCTTGACCACTAATCTAAATTCTCCCATAATCCACTAATGGGAGTTAAATAAGGTACTTGATAAATACACATACACACATGTATGTATGTATATGTGTATGTGTTCTCTAGTACACCAGACAGATAGGTAAGACAACAATAAAAATTAAATGCCAACAAGTAAATTTGATTATCTTAAAACAATACAGCTTTACTGAGAAAGAAAATAAAGAAATGAAAAGAAAAACTCTTGGGTGATGTGAACCCAGGGCCTCCCTCATTTTTTTCCTTTTGAATAAACTGTATCATGCTCACAGCCTACAAGATTATATTACAAGAAGCAAGTACATAGTGAAGTGGTTACAACAGTGAGCAAACTGACACATGTGTCACCAGACACAGTTACTGCACTGTGCTCTTTCACAGAATAGCTGGAAATCTACACACTTAACATAAATCATACAGAACAATGTTATCACCCGCAGTCCTCGTGTCTCACACTGTAGCTCCAGACTTGTCAATGCCACAGACCTACTCTTCTGTGTCCTTTCACCAAACATCAGCCACATATTACCTAGTACAGAAACATAAATGTCGTATTTTGTATCTTATAAGTTTTCCATATTAGACATGCAATGTTTTACAATAAAAAATGAAAGCAATTTTCTAAGGATCCAAAAGTTCACCTGTGACAGACTGTGATATTGATACCAATGGCTTTTATAAACCCTGGATTCAACACAAAACACAGCAATTCCCTGTAAGAATCTACGCTATGCAGCTCTAAGCATTGCTGAACTCCAGAGGGCAAGAAACTGTGTATCTCCACCGTGTGTGTGTACATTGGAACATCGTGTTTATACAACTTAAATATAAATAATAAATAATAAATCAGGAAAACTCTCTATTAAACAAAAGAACTTAGAACCAGCCAAAAGCTCAGAAGCTAAGGCCTCCTCAGCCACCTTGAGCCTAACTGTCACACGACCTGCTCTTCACGTCTCTGTGGTAGCTGTCACAAACCAACACGGCACGTACTGTACAGTCTGTGCAAAGGACAGGGAGGACTCAGCACGGCAGGTTTCTGCACAGCCCGCGGGGCCCAGGAAGCACTGTGCGCCAGCTGCACAGAAGTACACGGCTGAGTCTCTGGGCTGGGCGGCTGAGATGCGCAGGGAGACGAGCCTGGCGGCCTTGTTGATGGAAACGAGGAGTCTGTGCTTTTGGTTTCTCGCCACATTAGAGCGAATGTCAATGACGAGCTGGGGACCCTGGCCGGCTTCTTGCCTGTACCAAGGGAAGTAGGATGATCCGCTGTCTGAATAAGTACAGTTGAGAACACAGCTGTCTCCCTCCCGGACGCGCAGGGTGGAAGGGTGCTGCTCCACCTGCTCTCCTCGGCCGCCTGAAAGTAGGAGAGAACAGAGAAGGTCGTCAGATCCGTCTCCTCAAGTGACTTCTCCTCCGTCCTGTAAGAACCCGAAATAAAGCCGGTCTCCCCCGGCACGTCCGGAGAGCATCTGTCACTGTACAGCCCCCTGTGGGCCCCCAGTCCTCACTCACGGTCCAGCTGCAGCCACAAGAACGCGAGCATGAAGGTCACCATGACTCCTCCCAAATGGATCAATCTTGGACCTCCAGCCTTCAGCCGGGAGAACCGCATCTGCTCTCAAGGTGCCCCTTCCTTCACGAGAATAGCTGCAGTGGCTTCTGGCAGCGTCTGCCCAGACCATAAGGAAAGTGCTTCTGCCCCCAGCCAAGATCTTCATTTGAATCCCTGAAGTGAACCCTCCACATACAACTTCTGCACCTGCTGGGCGATACTGCCACCTCATGGTCAGGTCGCTAAGTACTGAACACTGGTTCAATGTTCCCCTGCTGTTTGAGGGACTCAGACAAATAAAGGTAGCAGAAAGAGGATGCCAGGGCTGGGCTGATATGCAAAACCAATAGTGACTGTAATTCCTATCTTAGCATAATGAAAGGTTTTTACAATCCTGTATAGTCACCTTCACTGGTACGCAGCAAAGATCTCACAAAGCTAATTACCCTAAAACAATTGCTGGTCCCAAAGTGAAGTCCCTTCTGAAGGTCCAGGCAAAACTCAGAGCCTGGACAGCTGGCAGAAGGGAGTTTATGCCCTGTCTAAGAACTCTGTTGAGGACTTTCTAAAATCCCAGTAGCAAGTCCTTCCCAGACCCCACACTCAGCTGGACTCACGTGTGCACAGACTTCTGTAACTAAGCTGTCCTTAACATTCATCCAGACAGCAAAGATTCCTGTAAGACACTCTGCAAACACCAGTGAGCTGGAGATGGTTCTACATCAGTCTCCAGGACCTCAATGCTTGGCGTGGAGCATCCCTTTCAGTACTATAACTTCCCTTCCCCCCTCCGATGTGCTTGCCTTAGTGCACATCCTCAGGTGTAAGCCTGTGACTGTTCCCACATAAGTATTTTACACATGGAAAAGTCAGACTAGGTCTTAGATCAGAGATTAGATGCAAAGTAAGATGTAGAAATCAAGGTCAATATTTGTGCACACTGCTGAATCATTATTTATAAATTGGAAAGAGGTAGAAGCTGGAGGTATTCATCTGCAGCTGGGCTGAGTTTGCTTGAAATCAAGGGAGCAACATGACTTACTCTCCTAAAGAAAAACTCCTTCCTTTTCACTGAAATTTACCTTTAAGATTTGTCTTTTGCAGAGACAAATTCTCCCATGTCCCCATGCTTGTCTAGGAAGAGAGACAAGAAGGGAGAAAGTGGAACCCAGGACAAAGCTTCGGAGGACTAAGCAATTGAATTCATGTTCAGATTATAGAGGGGATGGCGTCCATGTTTATTACTCCTCTTTTTGGTGCACTGGAGCCATAGTTTTTTAGATAATTTCACAAATTATTATTGAAATTGCTGTCCTGACATCTAATGCTACTAAAGTTTGCTCCATACAGCTAGAAGAAGGTACACAAAAGAAAGGAAGGAATGCATGAGGAGAAAGAGTCTTGCACTGTTCATGCCAAAGTGCCTCTAAATCTTACAGTTCTCTGGAATAAACGTTGAGAAAAGATAACAATTATGACTTCCAGAGCTCCACAATTTGCAAGAACAGTCGTCTCAGAAATTGTTCATCATGCCTGCATGTCACCTGTCAAATAATAACGCATATATCAAAGTATGTGGGTGTACAGTAAACATTAACTTTGTCATTATCAGACAGTGGGAGATAGAGTACCTGCCACTTAAAGTCTCAGCTCCAAAGAGAGTCACTAGACCCAGCAAGAAGGCAGCTCCAGCAGTGATTGGCCACCACCGGAGCCAAAGAGCCAGACAGAAGGAGCAGCTCAGCTACTTACATCTTGATTAATGCCTGAAGTTTTCACAAATATCATAAGGAATATAGGCTATCAGACATTATTAGAAAAAGCACTCCCATGTTAAGTACCATAATAAATATTAGAAATAGGTTTGCAAATAAAAGTACTTAAGACACATTTGCACTATAGTGTTTTTTTAATTAATTTAATTTCATTGGTACAATTTTCACATGCACAATGATCACATTCATCCTAGGAAATGTATACCGTACATAAATATATCTCCTATTTTTCCTATCCCCTCCCTTCTTTTCAATCCTGCTTCCCACTTCATTTACAAACTTTATTTCCATTGTTTTTCTTCCATTCTCTTATATTTTTACACCTACTTGCTTCCTTCCCATCTCCCTCCTGCTCTTCCTTCCTTCCCCTTCTATTTGAACATTTGCTTCCTATTTCCCAATATCTGTCTTCCACACAACAGAAACAATGTGATATTTAACCATGTGTGTCCATTTTATTTCCCTTATAATTATGTTATCTATTGCCTGGCAAGTGCAAGGGCCTGAGTTCAATCCCCGGTTCCACAAAAAAAAAAAAAAAGAAAAAAAGAAAAAGGAAAAGAAAAAAATTATCTACTTAAAGATCCAATCCAAAAATGGTCATGTGAAATAAAAGTCACTTCTCAGATGAAAAAATACACAGGAAATGTAAAAAAAAAAAAAAAATACAAAACATAGGTAAAGATAGTCATCACTGGTCATTTGAGAAATGCGAGTTAAAACAATGCTGAGATTCCATCCCACTCCAGAAAGAATAGCTATCATCAAGAAATCAACCAACAATGGACTGAGCACCTACTTAGGTTAAGTGCAGGGGCTGGGGTTTGATCCCCAGTACCATATGCCAGCCTGCCACTTTCCTAGGCACGCTGAGCTGGCTACAGAGACTGGGCGTGGTGGCACACACATGTAATCCCAACACTGGTGAGGCTGAAAGCAGAAGGACCACAAGTCCGAGCTGCGGTGAGATCATGTACCAAATACGTGAAAAGAAAAATAAAATCAACCAATAAGAAATTCTGTCAGAGCTGTGTGAAAAAAGGAACCTTCTCCACTGGTGGGGAAAGTGTAAATTAGTATGACCAATATGGAAATCAGTATGGAGATCCTCAAAAAAGCTAATCCAGAGGTTCCTTTGACCCAGCTATACCCCTTTTAGGGATCTTTCAAAAAAGCTAAAAGCATCAGACTTCAATGCTATATGCACACCCAAGCTTATAGCAGCATGATTTGTAATAACTAAATCTTAGAATCAACCTATATGCTTTCAATTAATGAATGGATAAAAAAGATGTGGTTTTTATATGTAATGGAGTACTACTCTGCCATGGACTACAGTAATTTAGAGGTGTACTTAGTCCTTACATGAACAGAATAGAAAAATCTAGGTGAGCTTGTACCTTGCCCCCTTACAAAAGACACCAAAGATTTAATCCCTGAAATATCCCGTGTCTAGCCAGTGGCAACACACTGCAGTGGGTGAACAAATCGCGCTGTACTCATATGCTGGGACACTACTCAGGAATACTGTATGACCAACTAATCTACCTAAGAACGTGGGCGAACCTCAACAAAATGTTGAGTCACAGAGCCCAGGAACAAGAGACTCTACATGCGACTCCATAGATATCAAATTCTGCAATGAAGTGAGCCTGTGATGATGGACGTAAAGATGCAGATTGTTTTCAGAAGGTGGCTTGACTGGAGAGGGACACAGGAAAGCTTTCTGGAGTAATGGGAGCGCTCAGCATCCAGATTTCTTTCAAATTATCACTTTCTTCTCATTCTCTTTTAAAAAAATATTTTAAAAATTAAGAGATTAAGAGAGCTGTATGCAAAACAATGACTTGCAATTATTATCTTGCTACATTTCCCTGGCAAATGAATGCCTATTTGTACTGGAAGTTGACCTATTTTTATGAATTGATTACAATTTGCCTTAGTGTTGTAATAAAATTTTGTCTCTAATACTGTGTATACATAATATGAAAAATCAAATATAATCTCATTGATATAAAAGCATATTTCTAAATTCTTAAGTTTACAGTTATATGAATCTTGTCATAATTACATAAAATTGCTGGGGAGATAGCTCTATAGAATAAGTGCTTGCCCAGCAAGCGCAGGGTCCTGAGTTCAATCCCCGGTACTGCCAAAAAATAAATAAATAAATTACATAAAATCATGTAAAGTAATTAAGGTATAATTCAGTAATATGTAAATTAATATGTAGTGAGATAAAATAATAAGATAATTAATTTTGAAATATAAATGAATAAAGCTAGTAGGAATGTGAGAGGATTCTTACACAGGAATGGAGAGGCCAGATGGAAGATGTTATCCAGCTGCTTGAGATCTTTGGAGCATAAATGAGTCTGGTCCAATCAGGAAAAAGAAATCAAAATATTTCAAGCAGTAAAAGTACAATATAAAAATTATTAAGAAAAGGGATTCTAGTAGCAAGAGAGTGGACAGTAAGAATAGAAGTGAACTCTGAAGCATACAGGAGCAGCAGGCATACTCCTCCAGGGCAGGGATAGAACATCCAGGGAACAGGACCCAGCCCCATGCCAGGGCTGAAACTCAGCTGTGGTCAGAAAATGCACAGTTGTGCTTCCCTGGGTGACAGAGAGGTCACTGTGGTGCTGCACCAACTGCACACCCTGGAGATCCATGCTCTAGGTCTTTCTACAAAACCATCCGCTAGGGTGCTCCAGGATGATGTCTTACACAACAGCTTGAAATGAAGAGCGCTGAACAGAGGTGCTGGCTATCACATCCTGCAGAACTTGAAGCAGGGCGCGGTGTGAGGTGAGAGCTGGGGAAGCCCCCCAGCTGCGGGTTGCTGCAGGGAGAGCGCACAGACACCGAAAGGCAGCGCCCTTGCTTCTTGTGTTGCTTCTGAAGGAGCTGACACCATGCGTGCACCAAAGGAAAACCAAAGTAGAGGGACCAGATCCACTTTCACAGAGCGAAAGGTGAATTTGGAGCTGAGAATTAATGAAATGATTCAGCCCTTGACTACTCAGGTCCACATAGACTAATTTTCAGACACAAAAGAAATGCATACAGCAAAATAATTCTGTATTTCCCCTTCCTCGTGGTACAATAACTTTCTTGCAAGTGAGAAACTTCTCAGGCTTTTCTGGAAAGTGAAAAGATACACAGTCTGAAGAACAGTTGTCATCGTCATTGGTTGTACTGATAACTTCAAATTCAGTGACAGTTCTGAACAGTTTCTTATTTTGCTGGGCAGGTTGCCATTACTCTGAGAATATAAAGTTA